GTGGATTGACTGTGTATTTTGTGGGCGAAATACGGCAGCCAATTGCATACAGCTGTGTCCCATAAACTGTCGTGGAAGAGTGACCAAATTGTTTTTCCCCATTTTTCCAATGGTTTCAACAAGTTGACACATGTTTTGGAGGATCTGGATGAAGCTGAAATAGGGTCCAATACTGGAGGTATATTACCACATGCCACCTTTAGATGGTGATTGACTGTGTTTCCTCCACTAGTTTCCAGTGTCCAGGTTCATTCACTAACTTAATTTTGTTTTGGAAAGTCCACTTGTACCCTTTTGCAGTTGCTCTGTGCACAGTATCAGGGGAACCACCTTTTCACAATGTCAAAAGAATTTCATCCAATAAGGCAGAATAAGAGCACGAGGGGTTGAGCTCCCTTGTCCAGATTCCTTTTGTAACTTTAAATAAGGGAGAGAGAAATGAAGAGGGTTTGGAGAAAGAGAACTATGTATTATTATCCTTCCTCATGATCTGCTTTTATATTTAATGCTGCCTTATATCCTGAGCTTCTGATTTTCGGAATTTATTTATGAGTTTTTTGGGGTTTTTTTTAAGCAATATTTTAAAACACTTTTTGAGTGTTTGTAAATCAGGGATTTTGAGGGGCTTTCGTTGCTGTACTGAGAAGCACTTCACAGAATATATTGTAAAGTGGATTGACTGTATATTTTGTGGGCGAAACGTGGCAGCCAATTGCACACAGCAGCGTCTTACAAACAGTCATGGATTGAAGTGACCAAATTCTTTTTTGAGACATTTTGAAGGGATTATTACCCCGGAAAAGATCTGATCCGCCGATCAGACCAGAGGAAATGGTGCCTTCTTCCCTCAAAAAATTGCAGTAGGAAGCTTCCTGCTTACCAATCAATGAGCAGCACGAATGGGGGGTGAGGAGAAATCAACGGCTCACAGCGTCCAACTCTCCTGGTAGGAGGAGGAAGTGTGGGTGTGAGAGGATATAGGATGGGAATAAAGGGCAGAGAAAAATAAAGGAAGGGTCCAGTCTTAATACATGCAGTCCATCAAATTAGTTCAAAGCTTCCATTCCACCCCAGAATTTGGGTCAACTTTAGCCTGGCTATTTCTCTCTCTCTCTCTCTCTCTCTCTCTCTGTGTCTCTCTCTTCTTTCTCTCTCTCTCTCTCGCTCTCATTTCCCCATTAGTTAGGCAGCCTGGACACACCTAAGGCTGGACAGTACTATTTGGACATATTTAATGCACGATTCTGAATATTACAAATACTCTAATCTTACTAGTAATTTTTTTTAAAGTGTAAACTGCAGATCTATACAACCTCAGTTTTAGATTTTAAAGAGCTTAAATACTGTAACTATATATACAGTCTATGTATTTTTTTACACAAAGTATTCACAACAGCTGGTGGCAGGTGAGTGCCCCCAGCTCTCTACAAATCTATCAGAAGTAACAAGCTATATTTGTGCTGTTGTGAGTTAAGATTCAGTGTCGAACACTTGTACAACAGGGAAATAATCAGGGTTTTATCACCGGGACAGTGGAATCCATATATACACATAGAGGGCGGTTGTTATCAAATCTGGGTCCGACATGTGACCCACAAAGGGCGCTATATAAGTGCAAGTTGTTGCTGTTTTTGTTGTTGGGTAAATTCCTCTCAGAGGCAACGGAAAGTTCATTGCGTCAAAGTTGGGACACTGAATTACTCTCATCAGAGACTCATCTGCTTGAAGTCGAAATCTGCCACGATTAATTTTGTGGAGGATTTTTATTGATCTATTCATTTTCGCTGCTTGTACAATATCACGCTGGTGAATGAGCCACACACAAGTCTCTGAAACTCTCTCCCAAGATGCTGACTCGTTTAGTTCTCGTTTAGACTCTTTTTTCCCCTGTGAGGAAGCACCCAAACTCCCCTTGACACCTCCTCCTCATCATAGCCTGGGAGACAGACTGTACGGGCCCACTAATGCCCGTTTCTCCTTTAAGGGGAAAACATATTGCGACCTTATTGCATCTAAATCAGATTCTGCGTGTATGGCAGGATTCCACTGCGTGCATTAACAGAGGGCACAAGCACCTGGCTCAGGAGGGGAAACATTGCTCATTGGGCTGGGTGGGAGCCTTGAATTTTGGTCAAGTGGCTTGTGAAATCTACCCGCAGGTTAAACACACTCAGTCGATCTGTCAGTAATGCTCATGAACCGCTGCTCCACTGGTGTCAGTATAATCTGTTGCGCAGCAGGTTCCTGTAACAGAGCAGTGTATAACTTGCTGAAAGGTAACCAGAGGATTCCCACCTCTGTCCTCTCTGTTCAAACTGATCTTGAAAGAAAGAAAACTGGTGCCCATTGCCTTTCAGCATCTGCCATCGACTTCCAGCAAAACGAGGCCTGAACTCCCCCCACTGATGTGCAAATCACGGCCACTGTTAACCTTCATGAAAAGAGGACCCAGGGCAGAGAGGCACTGAGAGATGAGGTGGCCAAGGTAATCACATAGGTTCAAATGAAATGTCACAGCAACTGGTCACTGAATAACCTACTTGTGTGACATTCACTTGGAAAATTCTCCAAGTGTTGCTGACTTTCAGCCAATCCTCTCTCCTTGGAATCGTGGACACAGTCGCTCAGGGTCAGAATTCCTCCTACATCAAGTGCAGTGACACTGAACACATGTGCGCTGACACCAGCATATTCCGCCCGTGTCAGCGCACGTCATCAATGTGCCTTTACTTAGCAACAAGAGGAACCTATCTCTCTTTGTGTGTCTGTCCGTCCCATTCAACGGAAAACACTTAAGAGAAACCTTGAGGGCAACATTAGCGCAGTAGAACTTTATAATAAGAGTTGCGGTGAAAATTGAGTTAAACTTATCTGTCCTGCCATAATCTATTGCCACATTCAAGGCGTTGTCGTGGGGAGAATGCCAGGGTGGATTTTTTCACAAAACGTCCAGTAAAACATGATGAGAAGGGTTTCTGAAAGACACTGAAAGGTCTAATGCTAACTCCCTTCATAACAATTTGGATTTGGTTTGATTGGATTCAATGGGATAAATCTCCTCTTGATATTTTTCCCGCTCTGGATGTGTCACGGTGTGAAGGGCTGCATGCACACTCACCACCATCTCCCCCACCCCCCACCCCCCACCCCCTCAATGTTCTCTTTGTTCTAGGTCTTGCCTGGGTCTTGTGTTTCTGCAGGTTGGCTGCTTCGAGCAGGGAGAAGACACGAGCAGAATGGGATAGCCTGAACCTACACCGTCCTATTCTGTGCTCCACCACACACTGCCAACCCCAATCTGAACTAATGTAACACGGTTAACAAGTAGGTAGTCTTTACTTGCTTTAAAATCCCAAGTTAACTTGGAACTTTAGTTTAAAAGCACAAGTTTTAATAAAAGATTTGCTGGTGAGACGACTGTATTTACAAAAGGTAGTAAAACCATCTCAAATTGTTACAATCTCCTCCTGTCTGATCACTGACGAGCAAACAGCTCTGGGAATCTATGCTCACTGTGGCCACTTGTTCCACAACACAGACAACCAGGGTCTCCAGCAGATCCTGGAACCATCCACAACCGAAGGTGTGGTTACATTTTCTGCCTGTATAGGAACAGGAGTAGGCTGTTCAGCCCCTCGAGTCTGTTCCGCCATTCGATTAGAATTCAGGGGGTGGTCCAACCTTTTGGCGGCCGAGGGCTGGATGCCCTATTTGAGAAATGTCTGTGGGCCTCATAAGCAATATTTTTGTGTTTCCCTTCCAGAAACATAACAGAACATTGACGGGCATTGACGGAGGGAGCAGGTGGGACAGATGAAATGCAGGGCTGGGGGCGGGGAGGGACCAAATGCGGCCCGTGGGCCGCCAGTTGGACCACCTTGTAAGATCATGGCTGTACATTCTATTGTGGTGGGACCGTCGCTGACAGTGCACCTGAGACTACAGTGACTTGCATCCTAATGTGTAGGTTCTGACCCTATATTCCCGGTACTGTCATTTGAACTTCTGGGATCTTGTGCTCGGCAACTGTGCCTCGATCCATCCACACACATATTATACTATATACTGTACACCAGGTGTATGAGTGAAATGTCGTTCCCAGGACAAACACTGGATTATATAGCGACATTCACACAGGGTAGTGTCCCAAAGCTCTGGGCCGCTATCCTGCGTGAGGGGCGCTATATAAATGCAAGTTGTTGTTGTATTAGTGGTAGCTCACTGTACCACAGGCCACTCACTGCCTATAGGGTCACTGCCGGCCAGGCTGGTTATGTGAGGGGCGGCTAATCCACTACAGAAGCTGAGGTAAGGAGTGACTCCCACAATCCTGCCGGGTGACTATATTTCCGAACCATCCGATTATTCAGCCTACGCTTTGCCTGAAACTCACGTAATTTTTACTGACTTCCCTTAAGCTTTGCCTCGAACCACCAGGAATTGCTAGATGTCACGTACTGGCTCTTCTCATTTCTGCTGCTGCCTCATCAGTGACTTGGGAGTCTCCCTTTGGAACTGCAACCCGCAGTCCCTTCGTCTTGCCCACCTCCCACCCCCCTCCCTTGCCTCCTTCGAGACCTGTCTCAAGTCCTTCCTTTTCGACCGCCCCTTCGGTCACCCTCCTACCCCTACCCTCCCTGCCTCCACCCCTTTCCTGATGCCAACCGCCAGCCTCGAGTGCGAATCCCTGATGGTCCAGCGACTTGGCACGTTCTCCCGAAGTGAAAGGCGCGGTGCGAATGTAATCTGTTGTTGCTGTTGTGGTCTGCTTCCACATCTTCCCATTCTCCAGCATCTGGCAATGACCAGACCACAACAGCCCAGCGTCATATTCTCTGCTTGTCAGCAGTCACACCGGTCTCCTGAAGCGCAGTGACTGGGAGCAGAACTACAAATCCCCCAAGGCATGACGGTGCCTCTCTGGTGCAGTTTCTTTTATTCTTACGGTTAAACCAATATTAAATGGGACTTTTTTGGGGGGTGAGGGGGGTGGGGGGCCGCGGGGATGGGAGGGGAGGGAAGGGAAAATGGTCTCGGAAATAATCAAAAGTAAAGGACGACTCATTCACACCTAAAATGAACAGACATGGGGGGAGGGGGTTGTGTGTGTGGAAGAAGTAGGGGGGTGGGGGGTGGGTTGGGAATCTTAATTGCTGAAATACTGGTGCTCGTGCCCATTACCAAGCAATCCCAAAACGTTACTCCTTTTGACCTAACCATGGTCCTCAGGGCTCTGTGGCTGAGGGATCCCTGGGTTCTGCACTGCTCTGCTGTTGTCTGTTTGTGGTTTTTATTTGCATTGGTGTTGTCTGTACCAGAAAGCTGCCCTGTATGTGTTGCTGCTTGTGTCCGCAGTGGGGACCTGCCTGGCTCGCTGCCCTCCTTCGTCTCTCGCGGCTGAACAGAGAGACTCCGAAGTCCATCAGGCCAGGGTCCACGGTGCTCAGAAGATGTCTGGGCACAGCTTCCAGTCCTGTTTGTCCTTGCACTCCCAGTAGCCACCTTTGTAGATGTAAGCCATTTCCTTAGTGACGGGATCCTGCTTCTTCTCAAACCACCGAGGCTGATAGGCTTCACATTCTCTCCCTGGAAGGCACAAAATAAATGAATAAATAGATAATTCTCGGTCCGTGTTTCTACCTTTCCCACCCACTCGGTTTCCCTCCCTTCCTTTCTCGGGTTTCTTAAATATATATATATATAGGGTGAACAAAAAGTGGTTAATTCTATCCTATTATCTAAAAAAAACCAAATATCACAATTTCTTCCAAGACTTCTCAGACATTGTAATGGTATCATGACTTTCCAGTACTATAGGTACATTCTGCCAATGCTATTCTGGAACATGGCCACCGGGTGGTACAAGAGAACAGTGCAGAGACATCCCATCACAGCACATTTGCTCCTTTTTGTGGCTCATTTGATCTCATTGTCCTCATCACATCTTCTCGACGTCTCAAAGCGCTTCACAGAATAGACTGTAAAGCCAATTGACTGAATATTTTGTGAGCGAAACGCGGCAGCCAATTGCGCACAGCAGCGTCCCACAAACAGTCGTGGATTGAAGTGATCAATTTATTATTATTATTTTGTTGAACTGATTATTAACCCTGGAAAAGCGTCCGCCAATCGACTCTCAACTGGGTTCCTATTCACTGCCAGGGAAACAGAGGCGTGCGGAGTAAGGAAACTTGCGCAACATTTTGCCCTGTCTGGGAATCGAACCCAGGTCCTCTCGCTTGCGAGGCGAGTGCTCTAACCACTAAACCACGGGACTCCACATATTTTGCGGGTGAAACGCCACACAACCCAAACACCATCTTGACATTGCGGGGATTGTGCTGGCCAGGACTCACCTTCCTCGGAAGCTTCCGCGGCCTGGGCCTCTCTCAGACGCCGCACGGCTCTCTGCTTCTCCTCCAGCCGCTGCTTCTCCACGTTGGCCTCATCCCACTTGCCGTTCTCCATCAGCCGCTGGTCCGGCCGGAGCCGGCTGTCCGTGGGAGCCACCCCGCTCTCCAGCTCGTTCAGGGTCAGAGCCAGCTCGGAGAAATAGTACATGTTGTCTGCGTTCTCACTGCAACACAAACACAGGCTGTTATGAACTAATACAGCAACGCGCTTCCAGCCCGCCCGCCAGCCATCATGTCCACACACGCCCCCACTCACCCATCCTCCAGTCTCACTCTTCACATCTGGGCTTAGTGGGCATTAAATCGGACATAACTCCTTCATCTCTTCCACAACATTTGGTTTGGCCAACCTTAATCGTTGTGGACTGCAGGTGGATACGTAAGCCTTATTCTGTTGTACTCTTTTAACTACCCATAATCGTTATTAATCTGAATGAATAAACCTTGATCAATTGTACAAGATTTGTGTCAGTCTTTCTCTCACCGCAGGGCTAAATTGGACATCTTACAACAGTCAGCGTCAGAAGGAACAGAAGCAACAACAAAGAAACAATCAAGCTTCTCTCTGGTTGCAAGGATCTAAACCAAGGAGATAGCATCTGAAAATCAGAACTAAACCTATCTACAGGGTGATCAAAAAGCCATGAGACCATTACAATGTCGAATAAATCTTAAAAGAAATTATGATTTGTTTTTAGATAATAGGGTAACTGAAAAATAAGATGTTTTGGTCACCCTACAGTTAGACTGGAGAGATCACAAACATTTCCTCACTGAGAAGGTTGTGAAAATGTAGAGCATTCGGCTCCAGAGGTGGAAACACTTTGGGTTGTTTTACGAGCAACGTCGATAAAATACTTGGGAAGCAAGAGCGTTCAACGATAAGGAATAAAGACAAAGAAATTGGGATTAAAAGATCTGCTGTAATCAAATAAACCAGCGGAACAGGCTGGTTGGGCTGAATGGCTTCTTCCTGTTGTTATGTTTCTGAGCTCCAAAGTTTCTGTAAGCGGGTCTGTTCTTTCTGTTTGATTCCCCCACGCTGTCCCATCACTGAGTACGAGACGCTTGTACTGTTCAATAATGCACTGTGTAGCGAGTTGTGAAAGCTGACGCACATCCTAGAGCTACAACATGGGTCTAAGTGTAAGCGAGACTGAGGCACATGCCACCCAGGGTGTCTCCGTAACCGGAAAGATAATAATAATAATAATACTCCTTGCATCTGATACAGTGACTTATCACGTCGTCGAGACGTCTCAAAGCGCTCGACAGAAAATACTGTACAATGAATTGCCTGTGTATTTTGCGAGCAAAACGTTTGAAGGGGAAAGAGCTCACCTGTTCTCGTTGGGGAACGTTTCGCAGAGTGTGACGGTGTAAAAGGGAAGAAGCGAGTGCACGGACGAATGGGAAGGAATTACAGAGATGCCCGTCACTGGATTCGGAAACCCGGCCGCTGTGATGAAGATGCCCGACACGCTGGCTTCACTGCCTGACCCTGGCAAACCCAGTCACTGAGCCAGTACTCACGGAAGCGGGTACTTTCTCCACAGCACCCTGGGCGGCAGGGTCTGGTAGACGGTTTTCTGTTTGCCCTCGCAGCTCGTCCCGCCACGGCTGCTCTGCACAATCTTGGCGCCCTCCATCTTCTCGTCCCACGTCCCGGACAGGATGTAGTTAGCTTTGCCCTCCGCGTCGCTCACCACCCCCGTCACCTGCTCACGTCAAACCACAGGAGTCAGCACCATGCCTTTCCTGTTCCTGGTGAAGTTGTCCTGATGAGGTGTCACGCCCCGGCTCCTCCTCTACCTTTCTGATCTGCGCTCTCTCCCCACTTCACGACCCGCTCCCTCTGCCCTGACCTCCTGCATGTTGCTCGTCCCCTCCACCCCATCATCGGCCGCCTCACCTTCAGCCACTACGCTCTGAAGCTTTACAACATTCTCCTTCAATCCCTCCGCCTCGCCCCCTCCTTCCCCTTTTAGATCACGACTCGAGACCTTCGTCTTCGACTGTGCTTATGGTTACCCTCCTCCCTCCCTCCCTCCTTCCCCTCACCACCCCCTCCCCCGCCCACCACGGGTGTCAGGCTCCACCACTGTTAGGTGCTCCAAGACGCTGCCCATGGTAAAGGGTGGTATATAAATGCAAGTTGTTGTTGATGATTACACGGGATTGAGGAAACAGGAGATCTGCTGCTTGTTCCTCTGAAACCAGCTATTCACACAGTACAGAGCAGCTCAGCCGATGTCAGTTAAAAAGGGGTAAATGGTTCGAGAATCTGTAGGTTTAAGACGCCTTTTAATCGGCGGAAGAGTCAATTTCATACTCGCCAAGGACATCCCCACTGAAACTGTATTTAGACGTCCAGAAGATGGGTGTGTGTGTGTGGTGTGTGTGTGTGTGTGGGTGGGTGTGTGGGCGCCATCATTTTCATGGCAGATAACAACCCGTCACCATGCTCGATGTGACATCTCCCGTAACATGGCGAAATGCATCCCTGACGGCTTGTTTCAGCTCCTCCGCTGTCTCATATCGCTGTGTTATAACAGGGGGTTAAGGGGACTTTGTGGACACCCTGTATGCACTCACTGGCAGCCAGAATGCTTGATCAGCACTGGGGAGAATCTGAAGGGATCATCATCAACAACAACAACAGCGACGACAACAACGACAACGTCTAAATACAGTTAATCACGCACCTTCCTGGCAATATCTCGTGAGAAGTAACTGTAGGGGCTGAATTTGAGTTGACACCTATCCTTTGTCTTGTAATTGATGATCTCGATCTCTCCTGACTGAACAACAGAGATTACAATTAAAGGTCGCTCTGCGTGGCATTGATCTTCACTTAGAATTGCAGCCTCGCTGAGTGCTCGGTGTTAAGATTTCACTTGATAAACCTGCCTGAAGCCAGTTAGTTTCCCTGTGAACAGTATTTATAATTATCAATAATAATCCTTGCATTTGATACAGCGGGTAGAATGTAGAAACGTCCCAAAGAACCTCACAGGTAACTGCTGTCAAGTAGAGACAGTCTGCGCACAGCAAGGTCCCAGTAACAGCCTAGAAGTGAACAACCACATTTTATGCAGGGGTCAGTTAATAATCATCATAATAATAACCCTTGCATTTGATACAGCGTCTCATCACGTCTTCGAGACGTCTCAAAGTGCTTCACGGAATACACTGTAAAGTGAATTGACTGTGTATTTTGTGGGCGAAACGCGGCAGCCAATTGCGCAATTGACCAGACAGTGGGTAGGACACCCTTCTCTCTTTGAATAGAGTCTATGCTCATTAAAATCCTTTGGGCCGAAAGGCAGATCTGACTTCTGTTTAACGTCTCTCCCAAAGCACATTAGCTGCTGACAATGCAGCTCGCACACCCCCCCACCCCTGTAACGACCTGTAACGTTAACTCACTTTCCTCTCTCCACAGATGCTGCCTGACCTGCTGAGTGTTCCCGGCCACTTCTGTTTGTATTACTTTGCTCATTGGTTCAGCGTCACATCACGGGCAGTACATCTATTTACCCACTAAGGAAGCAATGCGTCAGCAAATAGTTGTGTCAAGCTTTGGTCTGGGAACTTCAGTGAGCGGGTTGATTTGGTGACACAGGCAGCTGACTTCACTACAGTCTACTACAGAAATGGTGGCAATAGGACTGCTCCTGTGGCTACACGCGATCCCAGGGCAAGGCAAGCGAAACATCCCTCTCTCCCAGTGCAATGGCCCCGCTCTATCACTGAGTTTTAAGAAGTTTGCCATTCTGCTTTGACCTGCAGAGAGAGACGGCAAGAAAGAGTCAAGACACTCTATCACCAACCTGATCGATCCACAGCTTGCCTACAATGATGTTGTGCACCGTGGAGGTGACTTTCCTCCACACATAGTGGTTGCCCCCGGATTGGAACTGTAAGTGAATAGCACCTGTGGGACAATGAGAGACAAGACACCTGAGATCAGCGCAAAGGAGATGCACAAGAACAGATGTCCTTCACTTTAGCTCATGCTTTCTGTGTCCTTGTATGTGAGCTACGCTGGACCTGGCAATCCAATTCCATCAATTAGTTTGATGGACAAATGGACAGTCAATGTTCCAAACGATTCCAAAAGAATTTGTCTGGATTTGGCTGTTATGGTCCAAATGACGGGAGCAAGGTGAACTCCATAATATTCTTTGCTCCTTGTCACATCTTCGAAAATGTGCTTCATAAGATTTACTGTAAAGTGTAATGACTGTGTAACTGTGCAGGTGAACGCAGCAGCCAATTTTTTTCAGGGTTATTATCATCTAGGACCACTGGGAGAATCTCCCCCTCTCTTTTCAAACAATTTGTGGGATCTAGTTGAACAGGGAGACAGGAACTCAGTCTAATGTCTTAACCCAAAGGTTAAGGATGAAATATCCGGGGTAAGAACAGGACTGAGAAGCAGAAGTAGAAACGATCAAAGCTCGGCTCCACAGACCATGCGAATTCCAACCATTGCAGTGTCAGCTGAAGCAAACTGATCATGGGATTTTTTGCCACCATTACTTTTAGCAATTAGGAAGAAATGTCAAGAGTTCTCGGCTCGGGAGCTTTACACGTGGTTACCAGCCTGTCTTTTTTGAGATTAAATAAATTGAGGTTCACTGACAAGTGCAGATCCCGCAGCGTGTTGGAAGTCGCGGGCTGGGCTGGTGACAATGTGTTTTTAACAGCATTTCAGTGGTCGACTCGCAAGCGAGAGGAGTATTTTGTGGGCGAAACGCGGCTGCCAATTCAGTCTAATGTCTTAACCCAAAGGTCAGCATTTGGATATACTGGATAGACTAAGGAATTATGGATGGAATTTAACTTGGGGAATGTGTTAGTGTAGCTCAGAACAGGAGAGGGGAAACATCCAGATAGTGGAACGATGTCCAAAGTGGATAATGGAAAAGGACTGAGCAAACTGACTGACAGTATCCAGTGAACGCAAGCTGCTATCAACAAGATTAATCATATCCTGGGAGAAACCGCAAGGGCATTGAAATCTAAATTGAAACGGATTAACTCTGATGCTAGATTTAGAATGTTGGATTCTGTCCCATGGACAGCTAAAATTAGCAAATGTTGTGTTAAAATCAGATTCACTACTTTAAGTCCTCAGTGTACGCAGGTTCTGAGACACTGGGCAGGTTCTGAGCACTGTACTTTAGAACCATAGATATACAGCACAGAAGAACTTCAACCGGCCCATCATGTCTGTGCTGGCTCTTTGAAGAGCAATTCTCTCATTCCCATTTACCGACGAAAGGATATTAAAGCAGTGGAGAATTGTCAATAATAATAATAATCCTTGCATTTGATATAGAGCTTTATCACGTGGTTGAGAGGTCTCAAATCGCTGCATGGAATATATTGTAAAGTGGATATACTATGTATTTTGTGGGCAGAGAGACAAGGGATGATTTGGGGATGCAATGCACCAATTACAAGGTCAGTCTGACAGATTTCTGACTCTTTTTCATTGAAAAAACCTAAGGTTGCGAGAAGACAAGATCAGATCTTTCAAATCCTGAAAGGTCCGAATAAAGTAGAAGCAGGTTGGAAGTTGAACCTACTCTGCAATCTCAGATGCTGGCGACACGGGCACAGAATTGGGAAAGATTCAGTCAAACAACAGATTAGAAGAAATATTTTGCCCTCAGAGGAGATAATGCTAACCTTTATATTTGGTACGGCATCTTTCACGTGAGGAGGACGTCCCGATGCGCTTCACAGGATATACTGTAAAGTGGAGTGACTGTGTGTTTTTGTGGGCGAACCCAGCATCCCAGGTTGGGGCTTGAACCCACAACTTTCTGCCTCAGAGACGAGATTGCTACTAACTGAGTCAGTCTGACACGGTGTGAAAGCGACTCCCCATCAAAAAGCAGAGAGCTTATTTCTCACCGAGAAGAATATTGTTCTTGGCAGTAAAAGCAGGATGAAATATCCGGGGTAAGAACAGGACTGAGAAGCAGAAGCAGAAACGATCAAAGCTCGGCTCCACAGACCATGCGAATTCCAACCATTGCAGTGTCAGCTGAAGCAAACTGATCATGGGATTTTTTGCCACCATTACTTTTAGCAATTAGGAAGAAATGTCAAGAGTTCTCGGCTCGGGAGCTTTACACGTGGTTACCAGCCTGTCTTTTTTGAGATTAAATAAATTGAGGTTCACTGACAAGTGCAGATCCCACAGCGTGTTGGAAGTCGCGGGCTGGGCTGGTGACAATGTGTTTTTAACAGCATTTCAGTGGTCGACTCGCAAGCGAGAGGAGTATTTTGTGGGCGAAACGCGGCTGCCAATTGCGCACAACAGTGTCCCACAAACAGGAGTGGATTGAGTGACCAAATAATAATTTTCTTTTGAAGGGATTATTGCTTAGGAAAAGCAATCCGCCAATCGACCAACACCTCGGTTCCTACTCACTGCTGGATAAACAGAGGCGTGTGGAGTAAGGAAACTTGGCCAAGGAATAAGCTGTGAGATCTCATTGGGGTGTACAAGCACCACATACCTCCTGATTCATTATTTACCAACTAAATACTCATTAATATTGCTTTACCATTGATCTCAGCAAGGGCTCCTTTGATTTACAGTTGTTCAATGCACTTAATGAGTCATTTAATGTTCCTGCAGGCTGTTTAACCAAGAATGAATGTAGCCTTCTGCATCAAAGTAGATCATTATTTGCAGGGCTATGGGGAGAGAGCGGGGGTGTGGGTGGTTAGGATCTGGAAGGGAAGGGTGGAGGGCGGGGAGGGTAGGGGTAGGAGAGTGACCGAAGGCACAATCGAAGAGCAGGGTCTTGAGACGGGTGGTGAAGGAGGAAAGGGAGGGGGCGAGGTGGAGGGACTGTGGGACAGAGTTCCAGAGGGTGGGGGCAGAAAGGCTGAAGGCCCGCCTGCCAATAGTGGGGCAGGCAAGCCGCGGGACGTGAAGCAGGCCGCTGAGCGGCGGGAGCGAACAGGTTGGTAGGGAGTTAGGAGGTCACAGAGGTAGGGAGGCGTGAGGTCATGGAGGGCTTTGATAGGGATTGATAAATTCAAGGCTATAAAAGCACAATTTGCACTTGTAACCGGAAGCGATTATTATGTTAATCTCCTCTATTTTTCACCTAACTGGGTCCTCCCTGTGTCTGAGATGCAAAATCATGTCCCATATCGCCACCAAAGCTACGTCCCACTCCTCTGAAACAGCAACAGAAGATTCCCTGGGAACTAGGAACAACTTCTGATCACCAGGGGATATCGCCACACACTCAGCTCTTATGGAATCATGGAATATTACAGCACGGAAGGAGGCCATTCGGCCCATCGTGTCTGTGTCAGCTCTTTGGAAGAGCTACCCAATCAGACCCCACTCCCCCGCTCTTTCCCCATACCTTTGCAATTTTTTTTCGTAACAACTCTCTCTGTTGACTGTTCCCTGATACAACACGAGCTCCTGCCGTTGCTGCAAGACCCTTACCTAGTGGCATGATGGAGAGATATTTCCCCCGGAATTTGCTGGCTATGGTGATCTCCTGCCACAGAGTCCAGCCGCGATTGGAGCAGACGTGATGGGCAGCAGCGGGGGGATGGTGGCTAACCTGCAAATAGGAGACAAAAGATACAGTCAACCCAACAGACCAGGACCACAGGGTGTACGCACTCGCCTTGCAAGCGAGAGGACCTGGGTTCGATTCCCGAGCAGGGCGAAATGTTGGGCAAGTTTCCTTAATAATAATCCTTGCATTTGATATAGCGTTTTTCACGTCGGGAGGACGTCCCAAAGCGTTTCACAGAATATACTGTAAAGTGAATTGACTGTATATTTGAGGGCGAACGCGGCAGCCAATTGCGCAGAGCAATGTACTTCACACGCCTCTGTTTACCTAGCAGCAAGCAGGAACCCGGTTGTTAGTCGATTAGCGGATCGCTTTTCTTGGGGTAACAAATCCTTCAAAAAAAATAATAAACTGGTCACTTCAACCCTCGACTGTGTTTGGGACGCTGCTATGCGCAATTGGCTGCTGCGTTTCGCCCACAAAATACACAGTCAACCCACTGTAAAATATATTCTGTGAAGAGTTTTGAGACGTGTCAATGACGTGATAAGGCTCTATATCAAATGCAAGGATTATTATTATTATTATGTTCCAGCACAGATGGGCATGATTGTTTTTATTTATCTTTCTATATCTCAAAATAAAAAGGGGAAAAGAAGAGAGAGTGCTACGCAACTGTTTTTTTTAAGGTAAATTCTAAATTATGCGCGAGAGTTCCTCAGGATTCAGTGCACAAAAACAGCAGCCTTTGGACATTAGCAACAGTAATTATTGGAGCATTTAATGGGACTTTATTTTTAGATCTGAAGGATTTAAATTGGAATCTCCAGTGGAATGATGCTGGGGTGAATCTGCAGCTTGGTTTCACATCACAGAGGTCCTTGGAAGCTCTGTCAGTGAGTATGAACCGGAGTTTTTACTGTTGTTAGTTACTGAATTGGCTTTAGCAATATAGGAACAGGAGTAGGTTATTCAGCCCCTTGAGCCTGTCCCACCGTTCTGTTAGGTCACGGCTGACCTATATCTCAAGTCTAACTCTGTAGGCACACTACATGCTGCTTTGGGTTTTCAGCAACTAATAGGTCTGTATCTTCCAATAATAAAGATAGGCTTCTGTTCTGAACAATAACAAATTGCATTTCATTTATACAGAACCTTTCACGTCGGGATGACGTCCCAAAGCACTGGGACAGTCAAGAGTTTGTGCTCGAGCAGGGGGGTTGGAATCAACAAGGGTGGAGGGCAAGGAGGGTGGGGGTGAGAGGTTGACCGAAGGCACGGTCAAGGAGGAAGGTTTTGAGACGGACCTTGTGGGAGGCTAATTGTCTTCACAAACTGATGCCGAACACGCCACATACTAGGATTAAGACATGCAACTTTTTCAAATGTATTGCTCAGTATAATTCCAGTCAATAGCTTTGAATTAAAAACCTTTCGCCTGCAAAATACACAGTCAATCCACTTCGCAGTTTATCCTGTGAAGCGCTTTGAGACGTCTCGAAGACGTGAAAAGCCACTATATCAAATGCAAGGATTATTATTACAACCAATATACAGGATTGCTGTTCTCTTCAGGGTGAGACTCTCTTTCAGCTGCTTTCTCCCTCCTCACAGGTCATTATCCCTACCTGACTGGTCAGGCAAGATAACGGATGAGATCACCTACTAGGAATTACACCAAAGCATCTTTCCTTCTCCACTCCTCAAAAGGTTCTCCTGACAAGGGCTGAATTAGTGTCACCCACAAAATACACAGTCAATCCATTTTACAGTATATCCTGTGAAGCGCTTTGAGACGTCTCGAAGACGTGATACCAACTGCAAGGATTATTAAATTCAGGACTCGGCAACTGGATAACTACAGAAACAAACCACATGGGGGAGCCTTCGGGCTGAGTCACTTAGCTCCAAAGTTGCATTGTAGGCTTTATGGAAATAAGTGTATTTACAGATAATAATAATAATAATAATCCTTGCATTTGATATAGCGCTTTTCACGTCGGGAGGACGTCCCAAAGCGCTTCACAGAACACACTGTAAAGTGAATTGACTGTATATTTGTGGGCGAACGCGGCAGCCAATTGCGCACAGCAATGTCCCACAAACAGTCGTAGATTCAAAATGACCAATTTATTATTGTTTTTGGTTTTGGAGGGATTATTATTAGGCTCTGTGTGGAGTAAGGAAACTTGCCCAAGGTTTCGCCCTGACCTGCCTGGGATTGAACTCAGGTCTCTCGCTTGCAAAGCAAGTGCTCTAACCACTGAGCTACAGGACTCCACAATATAATATAACAACCACAACTGGCATCTATCTAGCGCCCTTCATGTAGGGTAAGATCTCAAGAGGACACGAGACATAGCGTTAGGTAATGGCTGCGCCATTTGTAAAGGCCAGAGTACACCACACCACAATAACCTTGTTTTTAAACTGTACACATTGGTCCAGTTCCATCTCCCATCGCTGTGGTCTGGCCACTGGGCTCGCCCTTTCGAAGCCTGCACAAGAACACGGACTTCTAACAAGAAAATGCAACGCCATTTCTCCAGGGAAAATATTCCCTGGAACTCTCCGAGGCCTGACACCGTTCCGTTGCCTAGCACCTGCATCCCTGATATTAATCAACACAAAAGCACAGGTTTAAAAATAACTAGGTTGATATCTTCGATGGGAGATAACGTTTGATCGTATCGTAAAACTCTTTACGTTTGCTATTGTCTTGTGACTCGCTCCAGCTTGTGCATTGCACAGCATACAAGTCACTTTGACCGGTGCCTTACATTGTAGTCTTACATTAACAGTCAGGTTCCGTCACTGTTAAGCGCTCTGAGTCGCTACCCTGCTTGGAGGTGCTATATAATTGTAAGTTGTTGTTGTTGTATCAATAACCGAGTCCTCCGCTCCACCCTAGGCGGCCGTGCTTTCAGCCACTATGCTCCGAGACTCTGGAACTCTCTTCCTCACTCCCTTCGTCTCGCCGCCTCCCTTCCTATTTTCAGATCTCTGCTGAAGACCTTCCTTTTCGACCGCGCCCTTTGGTCATCTTCCACCCTCCCCCCTGGCTCGGCCCCGGGATCCGTTACTGTAATGCGCTCTGAGACGCAGTCCGGCGTGGAGGGCTCTATATAAATCCAAGTTGTTGTTGTACATACAGTAGAGCCCATTATAATACAGTAAATGGGTGGGCGGGGGGTGGGGGTGGCATGAAATTCCAACCAGCACGAATAAACAGTTGCTTATCAGTTCTTCCGAATTCTAGCTTGAAGAGTAAATACTGGCTTGATTTTTCTAAGTGCATGTGATAAGGTAATAAGACAATAATTCTTGCATTTGATATTGCGCTTTATCAGGTCATTCCAGGCATTTCAAAGCGTTTCACAGGATTTACTGCAAAGTGGTGGTGACTGTGTGGATTTTGTGAACGAGTTTAATGTCAGGGTCCAAGCTCCTACCCCAATAAGGGAACCTGAGTGCTTTGCAACGGGGTTTTCGTTGTAACGCACTTCAGTCTGTACAGACTTAGAATCATAAAAATGGATAGCGCAGAGGAGGCCATTCGGCTCATCAAGTCTCCACCCTCTCTCAGAGCATGCCCTAACCCGATACCCCTTCAAGCCTTAAATTGGACATAACACACTTTGTCTAGCCTGTGTGTTATCATGAATCTAACACACTCTGGATATATGTCACACATATAGTTTACAGAGAAATTCATTGTAAAGGAACGTCCTATTAATGTGGGAGGTTTATCAACATTACTCGTTACAGTTGAAAAGTATGCACGGCACAAGCAGACATACCGACCAACAAAAAATTCTGATACCTCTTCTAATATAGTGGACGTGAATGCAATTTTGAGTATAAATGCTAAACGTAACATTTTCGGCCTTCACTTTGCAAAAGACTTTCTCTGAACCTGCAGTTAGATATCAACCGAATGCTTGACGTACCCTGTGTTCCTCCGCATGTAGATCATTTGTGCTTTTCGCCCACATAACATACACTCAATTCACTTTATAGTGTATCCTGTGAAGGGCTTTGAGATGTCTAGAAGACAGGATAAGGCCTGTATCAAATGCAAGGATTATTATTATTTATAAGAATAATCCGTAGATTTGATGCAGTGCCTCTCAGGTGGGGAGAATGTCTCAGAGAGCTTCACAGTAAAACTTTATTGTACAACGCAGTCACTGTGTGTCTGACAGGTGGAAGTGTCAGTCAATGTTCGTCCAGAATTGTCCCACAAACAGCCATGAAGTGAACTCGCAGTAATTAGAAGGAAGGAGAAACGACTGTACCCGCAACACATTTCCCTGTTTAATTATTACACTGGGCTCTGGATGCTGAGCTCACATGTGAATGTAATATATTCATTAATATTTCATAAGCAGTGTTTATTACAGATTAATAATGCATGATCCATAACCTGATGAAACATTTATAAACTGGCTACAGTTCCCTCGATGGTGTTAATTAAATATTGCTTAGTTACGGTAAGGGTTCCCTTTTATTAAACTTGTCCTCGTTACTGACAGCAAAGCGGAATATTCTGAGATCAACTGAAAAGTTTATTCACCACAACAAAATAATAATAATCCTTGTATTTGATATAGCATCTTATCACATCTTTGAGATGTCTCACAAAATATACTGTAAAGTGAATTGACTGTATATTTTGTGGGCGAAACACAGCAGCCAATTGTGCACAGCAGCGTCCCACAACAACAACTTGGATTTATATAGCGCCCTCCACGCCGGACGGCGTCTCAGAGCGCTTCACAATAATGAATCCTGGGGCCGAACCGGGGGGAGGGGAAGGAGCCAGGCGGAGGGGGGCGAATGTGACCAAAGGCGCGGTCGAAAAGAAAGGTCTTCAGTAGGGACCTGAAAGTAGGAAGAGAGGGGGTGAGGCGAAGGGAATGAGGAAGGAAGTTCCAGAGCCTCGGGGCATAGTGGATGAAGGCACGGCCGCTAAGGGCGGAGCAGAGGACTCGGAGGACGAGTAGAAGGCCAGACCTGGAGGAACAAAGGCAACGGGTACTGTTTTGAGGAGAGAGGAGGTCAGAGAGGTCGGGGCGTGCAGAGGAGTGCAGGGACCTGAATACAAGGGTGAGGATCTTGAGATCGATCCTCTCTGGGATAGGCAGCCAGGCGAATGCGGTCCCACTGAGGTGGATGATGGAGAAAAGGCGGTGAAGGAGGATGGCGTGATCGACTGTGTCGAACGTGGCGGAGAGGTCCAGGAGGACAAGGAGGCAGAGGGAGCCCTGGTCACAGATAAAGAGGATGTCGTTTGTGACTTTCACAAGCGCAGTCTCTGTACTGTGGGCGGAAACCAGATTGGAGGGGTTCGAAGAGGGAGTGGGAAGAGAGGTGTGCACGAAGTTGATTGGAACAACATGTTCTCGGACTTTGGAGAGGAAGGGCAGGTTAGAAATGGGACGGTAGTGGCTGGGGTTTGAGGGATCTAGGGAAGGTTTTTTGAGGAGGGGGGTGATGACAGCAGTTTTGAGGGGGGCAGGGACTGATCCGGGGGAGAGGGACTGGTTGATGATGTCAGCCAGTAGTGGGCAGAGGAGCAGGAGCTGGGTGACCAGCAAGTTGGTGGGGAGGGCGTCGAGGCAGCAGGTGGTGGGTTTCATGCAGGTGGTGATGATGGGTGAGAGGGAGGAGGGAGAGATGGGGAGGAAGGAATGTAGGATGGGGGTGATGGTAGGAGCAGATGATGGGGAGGGTGAGGGGAACAGAGAGGGTTGGTGGTGGGTGACAAGAGGCTATCATGGTAGGATGAGGCTGCCTGGTGGATTTTGTGAATTTTAGATGAGAAGAAGTCCATGACCTCCTCGCACTTGGCATTGGATATGAAGATTAAGGAGGCCTGAGGGGGGGCACAGAGGAGGTAGTGGGTGGTGGAAAAAAGGACTTTCGGGTTGTGTTTAGCCTCCACGATGATGTTGGAGTAGAAGGCCGTTTTTGCGCGTATCAAAGAACGGCGGTAACCGTGGAGATGCTCGAGCCACAGTTGGCGGTGGACTGTCAGGCCAGTTTTCCGCCATCTACGCTCGAGCAGCCGAGTTTGGGTTTTTAGGGAGCGGAGATGGTTGTTGTACCAGGGGGATTGGGTGGGATTGGAGATGGTCCTGGATTTCAGGGGGACGAGGGAGTTGAAGGTGAAGGAGAGGTGATCATGGAGCAACTGGACGGCTGCTTCAGGATCTCTGCGGGTGGAAGGCCAGAGGGATAAGATGTTTGATGAAGTGAGGACCTTTGTGAGGATCTCAGGGGTAGCCTTTTCCAAGGGCGGTAGAGGATGATTGAGGGTTTGGTGAAGGAGAGAGGGATGTGAGAGGAGAAGGAGGAGGAAGTGGTCCAATCCAAATAGTCGTGGATTGAAGTGACCAAATTATTATTAGTAACGCTCTATTATTCTTGCACTTTGTGTCACCAGCTGTCATGGTAGGATGGGAAAGTATTACATATAGGCCCACATTGCAATGTGTTACACACAGGAAACTACACAGTCTAGGGTGTATTATACAGAAGAAATACACTGGTTTCAAAGGGTCATATACAATAGCGCAATCTGATTATTTGGTAAATAGTAGTTTGGTCACAGAACTAAAGATCATAAATTGTTTGTACCTGAACCTCCAACAGTGACAGAGTCCGTGGTTTAGATGTCTGTTTACATGTAAACTCCCTACATCCAATGTTGATTCGGAAGTTTTTGATAATGATCGATCATGGTTTCATCACTGCCTTGTGCACCTCAGAGAAAGCAGACTGCCTCCAGGACTGAACTCACAATTTATTACAGAGAGTTCCTGAGTTTCATATCATTAAAGAGAGGCGTCAAAAAGGGGACCTCATAGTGATGCATAACGTTTTAAATGGGACTGAAAAACAATACTTTAGAGCAGCCACAAGACAGTAGAACAGGAGGACATGGGTTTATGCATTGCAAAGGGCAACTTGCACATATTCCCCCCAGTCCCTTGCTGACTCCCCCAGCACTAGATTTAGTGACATTTAGCGAGGTCTAGCAGTAGGTTTCCTGCCACCCCTCCTCCCTTACCTTCTTAGCTGGGGATGGGAGGTCTGAGAAATTAATCGCTGTGATTAATTTTACACATCGTCAAATCCAATCTCTATTAACCGTCATCCAACATGTGAGATCCCACTGGTTGTAGGATAAGAGTTCAATGAAGCAAGCGGAGTCGAGTTTATATTAATCATCATAATTACTGAGCGATTTCACTGAAAGGCTCAGAAACACAGGCTGTATTATGCAGAGGACTGTGAATGGGTTCACGTGCTTCTCTGTGCTAAAAGGATTACAACTAAGACTCTAGATTTTTTTTGGGCGATGATTAGACAAGCTCGGGCTCTTCGGCCTTGAGAGAAGGCAACTCAGAGAGGGACCTCAGAGAGATGTGTAACATTTCAAACAGGTGTAAAGCTCTGCTCGCTCTGTGTCAGTTATAGACTCTTTTGTGAGACCGGTGTAAGGCAATGCCTCCTAGTGGGTTAAGGTCCCCAGCAAAAACAAACAGCATCTGACTCTCACCCGACTGAGCTAAATCTCCGATACCTGTTGTATGTGGTGAGTATCCTGCTTCCCTGCCTGAGTAAGGAATTTAGACTCCTAAACCCACAACAGCCTGTCTGCTCGCTCCGCTCGGAGGACACCGGCTGCTTCAGGTCTCCCCAGACTTCCTGGTCCACCATTGGCGGTCGGGCATTCAACGTCTCTGACCCAACACTTTGGAACTCTACCCCGCAATCCCTCCGCCTCATCCCCTCGCTTGCCTCCTTCAAGTCCCGTGCCTTCAGCCACCCTCCCTCCTCCACCCCACCTGCTCTCCTACCCTTCTGACTCCAATTCCCAGCTGTCCAGCACCCTAGGATGTCTTTCCGACAGGAAGGGCACTACTTATGTGTAATCTGTTGTTGTTAGACAGTTTTCCTCATTCGGTGTCCTCTACTGGGTTAAACTCCGCCATTATAGCCCAAACCCAGAGGATCAGGATGAGGCCTCTATTCACGAGATCAAATTGTTGGTTTGGATGAAGATGGCTTTTGGTGCATCTGATCTCACGAATCCAGAACACCCGCCTTACGATCCCCCCATCACCTCCTCTCAATCACAGCAGCAAACTGTTTTTTTAGAATGAGTCCAGTGTCCTGTCCTCAACTGCCCTTCATGGCCACCTGTTCCAGACATTATTTGCCCTCTGAGTAAATAATAATAATAATTGTTGCGTTTGATATAGAGTTGAGACGTCTCAAAGCGCTTCACAGGATATAATGTGAAGTGGATCGACTGTGTATTTTGTGGGCGAAACGCGGCAGCCAGTTACGTACAGCATTGCCCCAAACAGCCACGGAGCGAGTGAACGATTTTATTGGGGGAGGGGGGGGTGGGGTTATTGGCAAGGACACTGGAAGAATCCGCCTTCTCTTTTTAAATAGTGTCACGGGATCTTTAACATCCACCAGAACATGCAGATGAGAACCTCGGTTTCAGGTTCAATCTGAAGCATGTCACCTCCGACAATGCAACACCCCCCGCCCCAAAAGACCCCCCACCCCCTCCCCCCGCCCCCACAACAGTGCTGCATTGGAGCCTCATCTTAGCCTGAAGTGATTCCAAATCCCGACCTCGTGGACGGTCCCCGATCCTCACCTGCTCACACAGCGAGCGGAAGCCGCTCTCCTCCACCCGATCCAGCTCGAAGGTCTCCCCGAGGAGTGGGTTGAATGGCTTTGCCGTGCGATGCACAGTCGTGGAGTAGGAAGACACTGAGAAAGCAGCCACGTAGCACATCTGCTCCACAGGGCTGTCACACCTGGCTGCCAGGTCCAACAAGCTGTGATACTCCAGGTCTTCAGTTAGTCTCTGAAGCATTGATAAAGGCTCGTTGAAATTCACCTGGGAGCAAAGCGGAATACAAAATAAGATAATAGCAACCGATTGAACAATACAGGAAGGAGTTTCACCATCAATATTCCCTTTGATAGTGGAAATCTCAGCACCAGGACCTCTATTAAAATCCAAGTACTAAGGTAGCTCACAGTTGCTTGGCTCCACTCAACAGTTACTCAGAAAGAATGATAACAATAGGACTGACACTCAAAGTTAAACCAGTGTCGACACCGAATCACGCTGTCTTGCCTCTGAGGCATTTTCACAGATTCATATATCTTTTTATAACGCAAGCCGGAAGCTCGTGCTGGCACCAACCTTTCAAAGCGGCTTTTTTTTATTAGAAACCCATCACGGGAACAGACGAGTGAAATTTATCAACCACTTTTCCTCTTCAGTAACAATAAAATCTGTGGTGAGAAGGATTACATCTCAGAGAGTCAAAAATACACCAACTGGGTATGTGCATCAGCGAAGGTGACCATGTTAACATGGGGTAATAATCTCTCAAAAAAAAATCCGGTCACTCAATCCACCGCTGTTTGTGGGACGCTGCTGTGCGCAATTGGCTGCTTCGTTTTGCCCATAAAATACACAGTCGATCCACTTTACAGTATATTCTGAGAAGCGCTTTGAGGCGGCTCAACAATGTGATAAGGCACTGTGTCAAATGCAAGGATTATTATTATTATTATTATTATGTATATGTTTCGGATCAACTGTTTGTGTGCATATATGTGTACCTATCTATGGTAGTTTTGGTGTATATTTGGAATGTGCCTACAGTCACCTCGCTCTCCTCCTCCCCCCCCCACCGGCTAGGCATCATGCCCCGCCACTGCTACCCCGTGTTAACAACAAGACTACATTTGTATAGCGCCTTTCACGTCGGGAGGACGTCGCAAGGTGCTGGTTAAGGGCGCTATACAAATACAAGTTGTTGTTGTGTGACATGTGTATCTAAAGGAGTGTTTGTTTGTGCACACATGTCAAAATTATGTTTATTTATGGGTGGTACGTGCATATGTTAAAGAACATCTGTGTGTATGTGTGTGTACACATGTGTATTTATGGAGTGTCTGATTGTGTGTATATGTGACTATGTATGTACATCAGAAAGACAAAGTGTGAATATGTGTTTGAGAGAGAGAGGGAGAGGGAGAGATAAGACACATAATACCTTTTCTCTGCCACATTCGGTCTTTGCTCGCAGCAGCCAACCACAATCTACATCTTTGGTCACTCAACCCACCACTGTTTGTGGGACACTGCTGTGCACCAGCGAAATTGCTCCTAAAATGCTTACGAGCTTGATTGTAACACGCCGTTACAATCAGCAAGGCAATGTGACTGTGTCAGCAACACAATGAGTAATAACAAGCCTTGCACCTGATAGAAAGCCTCATCATCGTCGTCGAGATGTCTTCCAGCTCTTCACAGGATATACTGCGATGTGACAGTGTGTATTTTGTGGATGACTGAAAGAGTCAATTTGCACACAGCAGCGACCCATGATCTCCGTGGAATGAATGACAATTTTTTTTTATTCGGGGGATTGTTGTCTCCGGGATAAACTCCTTTCTCTTTTCGAATAGTATCACGGGATCTTTAACGTCCGCCTGAACAGGCAGACGGGACCTGAGTTTTAATATCTCATCTCCGTCAATTCAACACTCCCTACATTGGAGTGTCAGTCTAGACTCTAGACTATGAGCTCAAAGTTCCACAGACCCCAAAGGCAAGAGTGTCACCAACTGCACCTGAGCTACACACAAGACTTTCACCTTTGGCCGTGGGTTCAGATACATTCCCTGCCAGCTGTAATGAGCGATCTCAATCCAGTTGCTACAGTTCCCAGTATTTATGGACAACCCCAAACTCCACTTAATGACTGGATATGACAAGATCAATGGTGAGGGAAAATGGCAATGCTAAATTAACGCAGCACAGTGCTCTCTTCTGAGATTACAATACAATGCAATACAAAATTGCATTTGTAAAGCGTCTTTCACATGTGGAAGACGGACCAAGGCGCTGGGCAGTCAGGGATTTGGACCCGAGTTGGGATTAAAGCAAATTGAGGTTAAAGCAAATTGTTGAGATGGTATAGAGGGAGCTTAATGCTATGATGCAATGTGCTGAGTGCTGGACCCCTTTCATCTCCTCCACCTCCCTGTGGGTCAGTGTGGCTTTAGACGCAGCAGCAAGTTGGGAAGCAAACTTATTGCAGTGCAGGATAAAAATCCTCGAGGCTTTATCAAGTAAATGAACAATCTCTCAGCCGGCAAAGTCATTGATTCCATCTCTTCTCTTTTCTAGTCACTACTTACACCGCCTCCTGACATGCAATAACTCACACGCTTCCATAAATAATTGTCTGTGGTCCTTTAATCTAAACTTTATTAATGTCACTGCTTGTGATACTGAAGGCAAGCTTCGTTAACAACCCAATTTATTAATATTAGCGGTTACTTATTTTCGTGAACGTGACAGTCGGGCATTCTGTTCTTCCCCCGCTCCCAGATTCACTGACTCATTTCCTGAGGGATCCTCATTAACATCTTTAGCTGATGATTCATTCATTCATTCATTCATTTTCACAGGATTTGGGGCTTGCAGGATTAGAGCACTGTATCACAGCTTGCTCTCAAAGTATTATCCTATCCGAGAAAAATAACAGCCTATTGTAGGGATTAAAAAAGGATCTAAGCTGTCAAAAAAAGACAGTAATAAAAACAAAAGTCGGGGTGGGAACACTCAGCAGGTCAGGGCAGCATCTATGGAGAGAGGAAACCGAGTTAACGTTTCAGGTCGATGACCTTTCGTCAGAACTCTGGAAAGATTGATCTTGTGAATTTCTAATATGGTGGGCGGGGAGGAGGGGGAGAGGAAGGAGACGAGTGAAGGGAACAGGGGCAGCAAGGAACACAGGAGATGAGAGGGGAATGAGTGTGTTAAGTCAAGACTCCATCCTGACAATGTTAGAATACATTTAGAATGCCTTTGAATATTCAGCACAGAAACAGGCCATTCGGCCCAACTGGCCTATGCCGGTGTTTATGCTCCACATGACCCTCTCCTGCCCTTCCTCAACTAAGCCTTCAAGCATAACCTTCTGTTCCTTTCTCCCTCATGTACCTATTCAGATTCCCCTTAAATACATCTTCTTAAATACGTTCTACAACAACAACAACAAATTTCATCGACACAACGCCTTTCATGTCTGGAGGAAGTCCCAAACCGCTGGACAGTCAAGGATATGCACCCGAGCTGGGGGTTGGGATCAGGAGAACTGGAAGGTAGGGAGGGAGGGTGGGGGTAGGAGGGTGACCAATTGTAGAGAGTGAGGGAGTTGCTACCTACATTCTTTATCCAGAGGGGGCTTTGAACTTGATTTACTTGTGGGGGGGAATGAGTGGTACCATGGTTATTTCATCTCTGGGTTGATATATAGAGTTTCAGGGCACAGTGGCTGAAGGTGGAGCGCAGGGGACAGAAATTCAAGCAGAAATGAAGTTGTACAATAATGTCAGGACATCTCAAACTACTGAATGGTCCTGGATAAAGCCTGATCTCGTCACTGGAATGTATCTAGTACAGCAGCAACGGTCAGGTCTCAGCCAAAGCATTGGGTGGAGGGAGGGGGAAGGGGGTGGTGGGAAAGACACGGGAACAGAGTGTCAAGAGCAGATCCATTTTTCTCACAAACCCTGAAATAATACTTACATTAGATATAGTGCTCCTCACATGGTGAAGGGTATATATATACCTTAAAGACCAGTATTTGTAGGCACACATTTTGCACACAGTAACATCCTACAAACAGCCATGGTCTGAGTGACCAATTTTATCTGGGCGAATCTAGTCCAGGACACTGGGAGGAACTTCATTTTCTTTTTGAATAATGCCACGGGATCTTTAAAGTCCGCTCGATCAGGCAGACGGGACCTCGGTTTAACGCCTCATTTAAAGGATAGAACCTCCAGCAATGCAATACTGCACTCGAGTGTCAACCAAGACGACGAGTTCAGCTGAGCCAGACTGACACACAAAACAAAGAGGACGCAGGTCATGACTATTTAGCTCATTTGAGACAATTTTTTCACAAATTATAACAATAATAATGCTTCCATTTGATACAGCGCCTCATCACATCTTCAAGACGTCTCAAAGCGATTCACAGATTGTACTGTAAAGTGAATTGACTGTATATTTTGTGGGTGAAAAGCGGCAGCCAATTGCGCACAGCAGCGTCCCACAAACAGTCGTGGATTGAGCAAACAAATTATTATTAATATTATTTTTTGTTTGACGGGATTATTTAAATTGCACAATTATATAAAGAAACATTCTGCTTGAAGCTCAATGAGGCACTTGCTGGCAAACACTCTCTCGTTAGGAATGGAACAAAAATGTTCTTTAAATTACAATAAGGATTTACTCTTCCAAAGGCAATCAGTTCAGATAAACCCTCCTGAGGACATTCAACTACTGAATATACAAAGATTGCAGAGGTACTTTCTTTCTGTATTTAGTTTGTTCAGTTATTTTACAGCAATCTGATTTCCTATTTTGTGTTTATAATCCCTTCTCCTCTGTCAGAGTATCAATTACAACAACTTGCGTTTATATAACACATCTCAGGGTCTCTGAGCATTTATCAGTGGCGGAGCCTGACACTGAGCTGGGGAGATGGAGGAGGTGATTGTAAACACAATCAAAGAGGAAGGTCTTTAGGTGTGATCTGAAGATGGGCAAAGAGGGGGCAAGGTGGAGGGATTGAGGCAGAGTTCCATAGTTTTGGGGAGTAGTGGCGTAAACATCCCACATTCCCTTCGCCTCACTCAATCTCTTGCCTCCTTCAAGGCACGTCTCAAGACCTTCTTCTCCGACTATGCCTTCGGCCACCCTCCTACCCTCCCTGGCCTCCTAACACCCCATCCCCCGCTCGGGTCTAAATCCCTGACTGTCCAGCGCCTTGGGATGTCCTCCCGACATGAAAGGAGCTATATACAAATGTCATTTTGTATTTTACTGTAGTGTCCGAAATTACAGCTGATGATTTTGGAGTGGAGGAGAGGAGGAACGTGCAGGAGGCCGGAGCCAGCAAGCGAACAGGCTAGGGACAGAGAAAAACAAACTGAAATCGCAAAGACAGAGGAAGTAAAAGGAAAAAAAAAAGGCCAGGAACCAGAGTAAGGTAAATAGATCCAGTCAAATATGTCATCAATAACCTCGCAGGGGACAGGGCCAAAGAGGCCTTCATGTAAGGGTGGCCACTGAGTAAGGTTTGTTGGCGAATGTAGTAATAATAATCCTTGAATTTGATACAGCGCTTTTCACGTCTTCTAGACGTGTCAAAGCTCTTCTCAGAATATACTGTAAGTGAATTGACTGTATATCTTGTGGGTGAAATGCTGCAGCTAATTGCGCACAGCAGCGTCCCACAAACAGTAATGGATAGAATACATCAGAATACATTAGAATATACAGCACAGAAACAGGCCATTCGGCCCAACTGGTGTTTATGCTCCACATGACCCTCCTCCTCCCTTCCTCAACTAAACCTTCAAGCATAACCTTCTATTCCTTTCTCCCTCATGTACCTATTTAGCTTGCCCTTGAATACATCTATGCTATTTGCCTCAACAACTCCTTGTGGTAGAATGTTCCACATTCTCACTACTCTCTGTGTGAAGAAATTTCTTCTAATTTCCCTATTTGATCTATTTGTGACTATTTTATATTGATGGCCCCTGGTTTTGGTCTCCCCCACAAATGGAAACATGTTCCCTATGTCTACCCTATCAAAATCTTTCATCATTTTAAAGACCTCTATCAGGTCACCCCTTACCCAAGTATGTTCAGCCTTTCCTGATAGGTATAACCTCTCAGTTCTGGGATCATCTTTGTAAATCTCCTTTGCACCCTCTCCAGTGCCCCTACATCCCTTCTATAATGTGGGGACCAGAACTGCACACTGTATTCTAAGCGTGGTCTATCCAAGGTTTTATTGAAGTTTACTATAACTTTCCTGCTTACCATAACTTCCCTGACCAATTTTTTTTTTGCTTGAGGGATTATTATCAGGTGTTTGTGGAGTAAGAAAACTTACCCAAGGTTTTGCCCTGCCGGGAATTGAACCCAGGTCTCTCGCTTGTGAGGCGAGTGCTCTAACCACTGAGCTACAGTACTCCACAAGAGGTAGTGTATAGAAAGTGTAGAGAAAAATACAGTACAGGTTACAAAGCTATAAATGAAAGCACTGTAGAAATGTCCACATAAACCACAACTGAGTACAAGTTAATACACATACTTGGAGAATTCTACACTGACTCCTACACTTTGACTGCGGTTAGGACAAAACAGAGCGGGTGATGGTATTATTGTTCGTGTGGAATCCGTGTGTGAAAGAAGCTTTGTTGGTGCCGCTTAATCTATTTTGTGAATCTGTCTCAAATGAATTAATGACAAAGAACTGGCTGCTGAGAAGGGTGTTGGTAGAAAAGCACAGGATATAAACAGGCTAAAACAGAGCTGGTTGCTGTACACAGTGAAGAGAGAAGGTTTATTATGCCAAATATATCCAACGCTGCCCCAGTGTGGTTGTTAACAGGAGGTGGTTGCTGAATGGAGGTGGTAGCTTGAACAGGTCTGACTGCACTGAGATGAAGAGGAACAGACAGAGATATAGAAACAGGCAGTCAGATAGCTCGAGACAGACAGAGAGGGAAAGAGAGAGTGAGGCGGAAGTGGTATAGAACAGATTTTATTCTTGACTGGTTAGTTATTGTCGAGTACAGTCGTCAGGTTCAATTTCCATTTGTCAGCTGTCAAGCCGGAGTCTGTGTCATATATTTCATGGTAATAAGGGATGCTGATGCTAATGGCTGACAGTTATTGGTGTTGCAATGGGATGTGTGCCAGTGCACAGTTCATTGCCGGTCAGCAGTGACAGAGACATGAACACAGAGTACGCTATCGTTAATTTTCCCTATTTTCTCTCCTGTTTCTTGTGCAAATTTCATTTTGCTTATCTTGATATTCTCTCCCCCGACAATCTCTCTCTCGCTCTCCCTTTCCTCCTTATTCTGTCTCTTCTGTCTCGTGCCTTCTTCAGAGAGTAATAATAATAATAATAATCCTTGCAGTTGATACTGCGCCTTATCATGTCATTGAGACGTCTCAAAGCGCTTCACAGGATATATCGGAAAGTGAATTCACTGTGTATTTTGTGGGTGAAATACGGCAGCCAACTGTGCACAGCAGCGTCCCACAAACAGTGGTAGATTGAAAATGACCAATTTATTATTGTTTTTGGTTTTGGAGGGATTATTATTAGGCTCTGTGTGGAGTAAGGAAACTTGCCCAAGGTTTCGCCCTCTGCCTGGAATTGAACCCAGGTGTCTCATTTGCAAGGCGAGTGCTCTAACCACTGAGCGACAGGAAACACTGATATAATCAGTCTTGTGCAACCAACAAGTTTTGAGACGGGTCTAGAGAGTTTCGAAGGATCAAGGGAGGGTAGCCTTCCGAGTTGGAGGGAATAAGAAAAATTAGGGGGAAAGGAATATCCTAATTGAACCCCCGCCCCCTTATTGGAATGCATTAGTTGCAATATAATTTATAATATATCTACACTTGTGAGTGATCAAGCAGAGAGAGAGCTGGTGTGAACGACATGATAAGAACAGGCAGAACAGTTTCTGACAGTGCCTTGCTCTGCAGTCTGCAAGTGTTAGAAATGATTTACGACAGACAAGGCCATTAGGTGGATATAAATTTCATTCGCAGACTCTTAATCCGTACACTATGCACATTTTGCCTCCAGAAACAGAAAACCTCAGCAAATGAACACTTCAGTCTTAAGACTGAACTCGTTATCAAGGTTATTTCCTGACTGCATGAAACAGCCCCAGGCTGATGTCCGAGCTTTCTGAATGACTGCGTGACAAAAGTAGTGGAGTCATTCTGTCTATGGATCTCAACAGCACCTGCTTTCTCGCTGAGACATCAGCCTCTATTGTGTCACTGTTGCTCTTTCCAGTGTGTATCTGTCACTGGCAGACGTACAATACAGTAACATTTATATAACGTCTCGCACATCAGCAGGAAATCTCAAAGTGCTTTACATAACCGGTCGGGCATCCGAACCAGGGAGCTCAGGACGGTGAAGGGAAGGGAATGAATGATGCCCGAAACCGCAGTCAAAGAGTTAAGTCTTGAGGCGGGCTTTAAATGAAGTGAGGAGGCAAGTCAGGTGGGTGAGTTGGATGGAGTTCCAGAGAGTGCGGGCAGGATGGCTCAAAGCTCACTCACTGAAGATTGGGCAGACAAGGCGGGGGACATGAAGCACATCAGTGTCCGCTAAGCAAAGGGAACGGCCAAGTCGGTAGGCTAGTTGGAGGTTGCAGAGTTAGGGTGGACAAGGCTGTGGCGGGATTTGAATGTAAATATAACGTAGAGATGGATAAATACACATATATGTGACTACCAACACCAACTATTCAACTATTTTGAAAGGTAGGGATGAGCAGTGGTTTATAATAACAATCCTTGCATTTGATTATAGTGCCTTATCACGTGATTGAGACGTCTCAAAGTGCTTCACAGGTTATACTGTAAAGTGAATTGACTGTATATTTTGTGTTGGCGAAACACGACAGCCAATTGCACTCAGCAGCGTCCCACCAACAGTCGGGAATCGAACCCGGGTTCTCTCGCTTGTGAGGAGAGTGCTCTCGCCAATATGCTACAGGATTCCTAATGCACGAAGAAACAGTGTTTGACTTCTGGTTAGTGTGCTTGTTGAACCAGTGCATCACCCCGCACCCCCACCCCCCCAACTTTCTCCCATGGTGTTGTGCCCTCCACAGTGGATGTGGATTGCCATTAATGGTGCATTAATTTGCATAGTGACTGAGTGCCTCAGGCACATGTGTGAGCCGGGAGTTAGATCGACGGTTACGATCTTATGACACTAAAGATGCAGAGTTTTACTGCCAAGAGAAGGTCAATCATCAGAGAGAGAGAGAGTATCTCACAGGAAGTCACTTACAGGCATGGGGATTTTGGACAATTCCTTTCCAATGCAGTTTTTCATGATGCTCCAAAGGTTAAGGCTGTAGCTGGGTTTGTCTGGGATGAGAGTCCGTCTCTTTCTCTTTGGCAGTACCTCCCCGCTTGCTGATTCATTGCAAGAAGCTTGGTGCTGACTGTGAAACACCTGTATAAGGGCCGGATAGCAACAATAAGTCACCTCATGTACAATGAAACAGAAGGATTCAGATCATTACCACTGGGACGTATACAATGAGAGGTGCGTTAGAGAGAAAGGGTTTTTATAACACCTACAATGTCAAAGCATATCACAATAATTACTGTCATGTGTCTAAATATAGTTAACATTACAATGAGTGATGGGTTTATAGAGAGAGGGTTACAGTGAGGGGTGTATTCTACAGTGTGGTACAATGATGAAGGCGCTATACAGTTCTACAGTGACTCCGCTATAGATAGTGGACAAATTACAAAAGTGTTAGCAAGAGGAGTGTGTTGTAGAGGGAGCATGATAGTGAAAAGTAAGAGATGGGTAAAGAAGGCAAGCGTTTCTGTGTTGGAGGGAGAACCACAAACTGCACGTTTTACAAGACGTTTTTGGATATTGGCGACGAATGCAGGGAGGATATTAGACAGAGATTGTCACAGTGAGCGATTGTTACAGACAGATCAGATTGTTGAAGTGAGAGGGTGTTATAGACAGATGACAGATTGTTATAGGGGTGGTGGGGGGGGGTTGCCCAACATTTCGCCCAATGTTTCGCCCTGCCGGGAATCGAATCCAGGTTCTCTCGCCTGCGAGGCGAGTGCTCTAACCATTAAGCTACAGGATTTCAGACTGTCACAGTGAGGAAGTGTTAGTATTCTGGGTTGGCCACAGTGCCTATATGTCATTCACTATATGTTGAGATATATACTCACATGGTCGTCCAGATTCCAGGTATCAGTATGACCGCTGCTGGTTCCACTGATATTGCTCTCTGTACGCCTGCAATCGAACACAAGGCAGGGTCAGACCCTGGAATCAGCAGAGATTCCTATCGAGGGCTGACAAGGATACCAAGGAAACAGTTCTACCTGTGTAAGATAATCGGATGGGGGGGGCTGCTCTGTTACTGACATCATCTGGAACGGAGAGAGATTTGGTGAAAGCTGGAGTGATACCATTTGGTTGTCACTAGCTTCACATCGCTCCAGGTCAAGCTCAGAATATTCACCGTCACCACTCAACTCTGAGATCGCTGGTGACTGAACCAGCAAGCACTTTAGACTGGGTTGGTTTTAACCAATTTCTAAATATACTTTTCCCCAACATACACTCTCCAAACATGAAAGGGTAGTGTGCAAACTGCCCTCTTAAACCTCTTTAAATCTTAATTCCAGCAGAGTCGAAATATTAATAATAGCTTTGCCAAATGCCTAATTAAGTTGTACACCTCCAGCGTAAAGCTCAGGAATTTGTTCGGTGTTAAGTTAAAGCCTTTTGTAAAACACACAGAATCAGCTCCAGATCTTGCTTGCCTTCTATTCCCAAATAACGCTGCCTGAACAACAACAACAAATTACATTTGTATATCGCCCTTCACATCGAAAAGATGTCCCAGGGAGCTGGACAGTCAGGGTTTTTTTGTACTCGAGCTGGGAGTTGGGGTCAGGAGGGGTGGAGGTCAGGGGAGAGGAGGTGGGAGGGTGGCCAAAAGCATGGTCGAAGAGGAAGATCTTTAGACAGGACTTGAAGGAGGCAAGAGAGGGGATGAGGTGGAGAGATTGTGGGATAGAGTTCCAGAGTGTGGGGGAGGAGATGCTGAATGTCCGACCACCAATAGTTGCTCATGGGCGGTCGGGCAATGGTTATTCTGCCAACTGAGCTGCCAGAATACAGGATGCAGAAGCTCAGAGAAGTCAATCTAACAGTAGATATTTTCTTCCACCACTTCCACCTTCTCCCCACTCCCTCCCCCCAAACCTTCCGGCAGCCAACCCACTTGCCTGTGTTTCGAGGGGTCTGCAGTTACTGTGATAAACTCTGGTGCGTTCTCCATGGCATCAAAGTACTCCGTCTCATCATCTTCATCACTGGCATCCGCTTTGGCGAGGCGTGCACTCACTGCATTTAAACACGGGTGTATCAGAATATATCCAGTCAGAGAGGATGCACTCACTGCACCTTTTGTTTACTCATTAAAGTGAGGGATGGAATGGAACCCTCGCTCTCCTCAAGCATTGCCAGGTCAGACTGTTCGTTAGCTGTGTGTAGAGTAACAGCTTCCACAGCAATGTGCTTTCGCCCCTACCTCAGAGGAACGCCCAAACACTCAACATAAGGATTTGCTAGACGAAAGAAGACTAAGATCCCCTTCCACCATCCTGGCAGTCGCAATCACATGTCTTGTCCCAAACTATATACAGTGTCCCTGAGATATTATTTCCTAAAAGAAATCTATCTAATTTTGTTTTTGAAAGAATCCACACTTTCTGCTTCCACCGTCTCCCTCGGGAGCCTGTTCCATACGTTTACTGCTCGCTCACTGAAATAGTGTTTCCGCAGATTTGTTTTGAATTTACCCCTCTCTTCAACCTTAGGCCGTGTCCTCTGGTTCTACTGTTCTGGACAAGGTAAAACAGCTGATCATGGCCTTAAATTGGAATCTTAAAAAACACTGTTATATCACCTTTCAACCTTCTCCCTTTCCAACTTTCTCTTTATTATGGTCTACATTATCCAGTCCCTTTAGAATCTTAAAAAAACGCTATCATATCGATTTTTCACCCTGAAGATCTCGTGGAGTGAAATTGCCAATTTAGTGTGCTGCCCATGTCGAGGTGTGTTTTTTTTTTACAGAATTAGAATCACTTGATATTAAGTTGAGGCCGTGTGTAAAACACAGATAATCAGCTCCAGATCTTGGTTGCCTTCCATTCCCAAATAAAGAGTGCCTGAACAACTGAACTGCCAAAATAAAAGATGCAGAAGCTCATATAAATCAGTCTAACATTAGAATACACATAGTACAGCGACACTGCAGAATATTTGATCTTAAATGTCGACACTTAGGTCTCCAATCTTGTAACCGCTAGTCATTACTCTGAATAGTAAAGACTTTGACAAGTCACACTTGTGTATTAAGACGTGGCTGAGAGAGACATGGGCACTTAATTTATGACACTGAAGGTTTTGCTGAATGAGCCAAAATAATAATAATCCTTGCATTTCATATTGCGCCTTAAACTATCTCAAAGCACCTCACAGGAAATCGTTAAGTGACCTTTCAAGCGAATTGCAGTAGAACAGTCTGCTTATTGATGTTTTAAGTTGCTCACATTAAAAAGTACACTGATGTATACATCGTTCTTAAACAATATAATATAAAAACCTTTTCATTTGTATGGAATGAACATTCCCGCTGTTTGAAAAAAAGTCAAATTCAAATCACGGATCTTGTAATCTCTCCCGAAATGAAATGCACGGGAAGAACAAAAAAAAAAGCATTTCCTTGGGAGACAGAACCAAGTGTGGAGGAAACCTTACATCGAAAACAGCAACAATATCCTCGAAGCATTCATTGTCTCAGCCGGCCTTTGCGCAGGGGGAGGAATGAGTCAATGAGACAATGGCTTGCGCCATTGACTTCTCATTGACGTGGGTCATGCCAAGGTATAAATATTCATCAGCTGCCCGTGCATCCACCCTCCACAATAATGAGGGCGATGTGTGGGCTGAGAACCGTAACGAGAGACAGCGCAGCCCCAGGATACTGGCCAGATCAAAAAAGAATGTGGATCAAACGACCAGATTAAAAGTCATTTCACTCCTGCCTGAACCTTACCTCAGCCACCCCACCACCCACCCCGGCTCTAGACACATGAGATGAACCAGTGGCTGGGCTTGACCGGGCCAGTGATGGATGATGGAGGGGGCACAGCACTCAGTTCGTGAATTACCTCATTTGTCATTTTCTTGTAAAACTTTCTGTTTAAAACAAGAGGCTGCAGGTCGGAGGCTGTTTATAAGCACTTTGATTTAGTGCGAGTCTGTTTATTGGGCAGGTGCACAAGGCCACTCCGAGCACCGAGCACAACCCAACTAAGTGCAGACCAGCGGCAGCCCGTCAAACAGGGCCGAGAAGCGACCATCTCTATAGCGTGCCCCCGTTTGAGTTAATGGACCCGAATTCCCAAATTTTAACAGGGTTTGACTGTTCTCTTTAAACGCAAAGTTACAATTGTGTAGCGCTTCTCACATCAGGAGGGCGTCCTAAGGCGCTGGACGGTAATACAATACAAATAGTATGAATGCTTCACAACTCTACGCTTATAAAAGGATATTTGTGTCCCTCATTCCTTGCAAAGCTGTGATGCTTTATCCCGTAGACGGCTGTCATGTGCTGGAAAATTTCAGGCCTGTTAAATAACAAACGTGTCTGGCTTGATCACACAGGGGTGACCAGACTAGATCAGAGGAAGGGTTGAAGAAGGGAACAAGTTATGATTTCAAGATCCTCACACTCGTTTTAATATCCCTCCCTACCTCTCCAACCTGCTTAACCCCCCAACCCACAACCTCCGTCCGACTGGCTTTGGCCTCCTGCTTGTCCCTTATGCCTTCTGCTCCACCATTGGCAGCCACGCTTTCAGCCACTACATCCTGGTTCACTCGTCCTCTACCCCTCCACCTTGCCCCTTCCTTCCTCATCTTCAGGTCACACCTTCCTTCCTATGACCGTGCCTATGGTCATCTCCCTTTCCCTCAGGCTTGGCGTGGTGCTCCGCCACTGTCAAGCGCTCTGGGACACTACCTTTGTGAGTGGCACTATATAAATGCAAGTAGTTGTTGAATTTTGCTCAGAGCTTCGGGAACCCAGAGTAGGTGAGATGATCTGCCTTCAGCACAAATGGTAAAGGTAAGGACAAATGCATGTTACACTATAGTTTGAAATAATTAAAGCACTGACTGACTGGTCTACCTATTCCCCACCTCCTGTTGGCCTCTATTTGGGAACCCCTGAATGTCAGATACCACAGATAGTTCATCAGGTCTGTTGCTGTACTCAATGTTGTCTGGGAAATGACGTAAAAGACTAAGGGGGAGAGATCAACCTGTTACAGCTGATACCTCAGTCTTGTTGCAGCAGTACAGTAATAATAATCCTTGCATTCGATATGGCGCCTTATCACGTCTTCGAGACGTCTCGAAGTACTTAACAGAATATACCGTAAAGTCAACCGACTGCATATTTTGTGGCCAAAATGCGGCAGCCAATTGCACACGGCAACGCCCCACAAACAGCCGTGGATTGCAGTGACCAATTTATTATTATTATCTTTTTGAAGGAATTATTACCCCAGGAAAAGCGATCCACCAATCGACTAACAACCAGGTTCCTACTTACCGCTAGGTAAACAGAGGCGTGTGGAGTAAGGAAACTTGCCCAACGTTTCGCCCTGTCCAGGAATCGAACCCAGTTCTCTCGCTTGTGAGGCGAGTGCTCTAACCACTGAGCTACAGGACTCCACAGTGGTTTTGAGATTCCGTTGACCTCCATTCCATTGCAGCAGACCGGGAAATAACGTGATTGTTGAATGCCTAATTAAGCTGTGGCTCTCCAGTGTAAAGCTCACAATTGGTTTGAAACGAGATGTGCAGTGAGAGCCTTGTGGAATGCGGAAAAACAAAAAATGCCGCTGATATTTAAAAGGGATTTAAAGCCCGGGGAGATTCTGCTTCAATAATTGCTGTTTGTTCCCTTTAAGAGCTCTGAGGATTCGTCAAATCTTTCTTACAAGAGTTCACGATGTATAGGGCCCGAAAAGCCCACTAACTGTACACGCAGCCAGTTTTGTCTCACATATCTCCCTTTGCTGTCAGAAAGGTACCAATTGTCTCCTGAAACTGGCCATATTAATAACAACAATATTAATAATAAATAACAACCCTCGCAATTGATTTACAGCCTCATCACATCGCCAAGACCACTCACAGGATTTGCTGTAAAGTGTAGTGACTGTGCACAGTGTAGGCAGACCTGGAAGCCATTTTGCCCGCAGCAATGTCCCACAACAGTCATGAAGTGACTGTTGGCCTGGACACCGGAGAGAAACTCTCCTCTCTTTGAGATGGGATCATCAAGATCCAGCCTGAACAGGCAGACAGGACCTGGGTTTAGTGTCTCATCCGAAGTATGGCACTTCCAACAATGCTGAGCTCCCTCAGCGCTACCCTGGAGTGTCAGCCTAGACTGTGAGCTCAAAGTCCTGAGGTGGAGCTTGAACCCACAACCTTCTGACTCGGAGGCGAGAATGCTACCAACTAAGCCAGGCTGATGTATTATCTAGCTCCCTGGGCAAACTAACCACCATCTACATAAAGCAGTTAAATCTCACTTATCTATTGACCTTGCCCCCTTCTGAGTTTGATCCCTTTGGTGTGCACCACTGTTTTTTTCAGGATAAGACATAACGGCATAGCCTCAACGGTGCTCATTTATCAGCAATCGCTCCTATGTTTGGTTATGTCAGCAGTAACCAGCCACAGTTTACCCCCACCGGCTGTCAATTATCATCTCCGCAGAAGGGTGTGATAGATGATCATGAGGGTATAATTAACAAATACATCAAGTCAAGACAGTTATAACTGCATTGACCCCAGTGTACTGCACACAGGAATGAAGGGATTGAGCTGGGCCAATAGAACAGTGCGGAAATATTTGCTCAAAATTGCGGAGAGGTTAGATGTTTGTGTGGAAAATTGTGGGGTTAGGGGTGGGGCGGGGGCCAGGCTTCGACAAATATTGAGTGGAGTGGAGTTGATTGGTGCTATTGAGGTACATTTTACTGCTAAACTACATTTTTTCACTTTATTGATAAAAACTAAACATAAGAAAATAACACATATTAGATTGTTACAAAAAAAATGAATTGCTTGTTTAACAAAACCTGTGTGGGCTTTTTTGAGGGTCGGTGGGGTTGGGGGGAGGACACTAACCAGGCTACAGGAGCTCTCAGGGACTCACAGACCCAGAGACACACACACACACAGACACAGAGAGGGACACATAACACTCAGAGACACAGAGAGAGACACACACATACACAGACAGAGAGAGAGAG